TAAAAACATATCAAATCATGCATAAATATGAACTTATGCTCTACTATTAATTTTATATATAAATTTTTATGTATGAAATATGTATTTATTACTTGCAAATATACTTTTGATAACAAAACTGGAATTCAGAACAGAAACATGCTTTACAAACAACTAGTTTAAACAAAACTTTTTTTTAAATATATATTTTTTAAGATTTTATTTATTTATTTGTCAAAGAGCACAAGCAGGGGCGGGAGGGTGGGGTGGGAGTCCAGTCGCAGGCTTCTCGCTGAGCAGGGAGCCCAATGTGGGGCTCAATCCCAGGACCCTGTGATCATGACCTGAGCCGAAGGGAGACTCTTAGCCCACTGAGCCACCCAGGCATTCCTTAAAAAGTCTTCTTGATCTAAATAAACAAAAAAATCCTGCATTTTCTCAATAAAAACACTTATTTTGTGTTCTAAGTCTCAAGAAATTATGGCAGAAATGCTTCAGAAGAAATAGTCCTCATTTGATATTACCATGACTATATTTTTTCCGGATTGTATATTAAGTTTATCTTTGTTCACTAAGCGTTAAGCATGAAAAGATCTTTGTGCTCTGTGTAAGAATGCTAAAAAAATGTCGATTTTCTCAAGAGATTTGAATAATAACTTTCATTATTGTTCAGAGGAAACTCTGGTATTTGCATATTTTTGGTTTGTTTTAAATAAATTCATCATTGGAATTCTGATGTTTCACTTCTAGATTGCATAGAATTTTAAGTTTAGAAGCTATATGCCAATAAAGTATTAAAAAAAGGTTAAGATTCTCATTTAAAAATTTTCAAAATTCTTAGCAATAATTTATGTTTTTAAAGATTTTATTTTTTAAAATTTATTTATTTGTCAGAGAGAGAGCACAACCAGGGAGAGCAGTGGGCATAGAGAGAAGCAGGCTCCCTCCCGAGCAAGGAGCCCAACTTGGGACTGGATCCCAGGATCCTGGGATCAAGACCTGAGTCCAAGGCAGACACTTAACGGACTGAGCCATCCAGGTATCCCAATAATTTATGCTTTTTAAAATATCAGGAAGCATATGAGAAAAGGAAAATAAGACATTCTTTGTACTATTGTAATCGAATTCATAAACTAGTTAGCACACTAAAGACAGAAGAAAATGACCCTTGTGAGATAATGCATTTTTCTAGTTAATAATTAATATTTTGTAATATGAGCTGACCAAGTCTACAGGCTCCTTTTTCTTTACCATTTCAGCAAGTGTCTTCAAATCTATTAAAATGTTATCTATCCTGGATGATCTATTGCCTCATCCAATGCTTGCCAATTTTTCAAAAACATTAAAATAAGTAGCTCTAGTTGGTAGTTTGCTTAGAAAAGCGTAATTCTTTATGTTCACTTAAATTCAATGACTTCAAAACTTCTTCACAAAAGCTGTTAATTAATCCTGCCATGGGAGCCTCTGGGCTATACAATGAGTATAATTTTTCTTTAAAAATTACCAATTTCACTGACACATACCCCGGGATAGAGGTTTTAGTATTTCGCTGGTGAAATTAGTAATGCCTGTTCACCAACATGTTCTCTTCAGTGCACCGCTTGATCGAGTGCCAGCATGGAAGTCTGCATGACTGGTGATTTCTGAGTCTTCTCAAACTCATACATTTCCAGACATTTTTTCTTACTACATGGGTAAGGTGCTGTGTTGAGAGATTTTGATGACATTTAAATATGATTATACAGCAGTAATTAGAGGGTAAGAAAGAAATTGCAATGCCTCCCATTTCTTTGAAATTGTATAAACAGACGGCTTCTCGGCATGAGACCCAACTAAAATTAGGGTTGTGCCAACACTTAAATGCATAAGCCCATTTCATTGAAGTAAACTAAATATTGAGTTTCATCTATCTTTTAGCACATTCTCAAGTAGCATCTTAATGAAATTAAACTGAATTCATTTATTGAATTCTATAACTTTAAAGCATAATCTACCACAAGGCAATCTGAGCCTCATTTATATTACTTATGTTAAATAAGTTTAAATCCATGAACATACTATGCTACTAATCAAATACCATCATTGGTCACCTCTGAAGGGTATTAGGGAATCAACTCATTATTCTGAAAATTAATAAATAAAGGGAAAGAATTAAACCAATTTTCTGCCTTTCCATTAAGAAAGGACAACCAAACGGTTGATGAAGGAAACTTTCTCTTTATAGAAATAACTGAACAAATAAATAAAAAGGATTGACAATTAGAAAAACACCATTTGGCAATTCTATATTAGTTAATGGATTTAAGCAAAAATCAATGGCTTTAAACTTCACAAAAAGAGAAATGATTGAACATTGTGTGCCTTCTGATAGAAATACAACATCACCTGTGATACAGTCCTTTGAATCTGAATCTGATCAACTTCTAGATCTATTAATCAATTTACAGAAAATATTAGAAATATAGGAAAGACAAAGTAATGTATTACATGACAGCATGAGGTGCAATTAGCAAAATCCATACTCTGGACACTTAATAAACAAATAACTCAGTTTCTTGTACAAATAAATTGCAAGGGAAAACAGAGATGGATAAATTCAGACATAACATCATATAGTGTTTTTAGACATTTTTTCTTACTATTTGTGTCCCAGAGTCTTTCCTATCAACTCACTAATAATTAAGATAGCAATATAATCTACCTTTCTAATTTTTAAGCTATATTTTCTAAGGTAACAATAACAACAATAATAAAATTCTCAAGCTAGAAAGCAGTTTCTTTTCCATTGAGGGAAGAGCAAAAGCAAGCCTGTAAAATCCTTCACATCCTCAGGTAGAGACAATCTTTCCATTCTTACCAAGGGTCCTGTATGAGTCTCTTGCAGCTGCCGTAACAAAGTACCACAAACTGGGTGGTTAAAACAACAGATATTTCTTTTCTCTGAATTCTGGAGGCTGAATATCTAAAATCAAGGTGCCGATAGATTTGGGGTCTTCTGAGACCTCTCTCTTTGGCTTGCACATAGCTACTTTCTCATTAGGGCTTCACGTGATCTCTTCTCTCCCTGCGTGTGAACCCCTGGTATCTCTCAGTGTGGACAATCTAAGGACACCAGTCATGTTGGATTACCCTAACCCTTTATTTGAATTTAATTTGAATTTAATACAGTCACATTCTATAGTACTGGGAGTTAATGCTTCAACATGAATGGGGGAGGGAGAGGACACACCGTTCAATCTGTAACAAGGCCATTAAGAATCTCACTGTATTTACTGATAATTCCAATGCCATTATTAACTGCTTGCAATGGTTTGAAATTTAGAAAAACACTTTCATGTGGGCTCAAAAGCTAAAGCTCATGAAATTAATCACATAAGCTACACTTTGCAAAGTTTGTACCCAACATTACTCTTCGCTCCTTGACTCTCAGATTTTGTTTCTTCAGACCTGTGCACTTGAGTGCGGTAGCCACATGTGACCAGAGAGCACTTGAAATGAGGTATGTTCTAAGTAGAAGATACACTGGATTCCACAGACTTGGTAAGAAAAAAAAGTAAAATATCTCAGTAAGTTTCCTGATGATTGCATATTGGAAGATTTTGGATAATTAATTTCATGTTTGTTCTTACTTTTCAAAATGATTACTAAAAAAGCTTAAAATGACATGTGTCTTTCATTATATTTCTATTGGATGGGATTTCCAAAACATGGGTTTATCATTTGACCTAAGTCTTGCTTTGAGAGCTTTCTTACATTTCGAATTTAGAACTCTCCCCAACAATCCCTTTCCTTTTCTCACCCCTACACAGGTAGAGAATTGTAGCATGAGAGCTAGTCCTTAACTTAATTTCAAACCTAAGGAACAGTGTCCCACTTGTTAGGAAGACAACCTGTAAGGCTAACTTAATGAATTCAATCAAAATGTGTTGTATTGAAGTCCTACGGAACAAGGAGTCCTGTTGTCTTTCAGCTTTCTCAGAAATGAAAGAAGTTGTAATTAATAGCAATTGACAAAGGTATTTATTTTTCACTTACCAGTAGTATTTAAAGTCTTATGTTCTAATTTTATCAAACACAAGAACTGGGATTATCAGGATTCCTAGAAATTTTGCAGTAATTATTTTATGTATTTACAACTGTTAGATCTTATGATGGAGTAGTTTGCTTTGCTTTAAAGTTGCTGTTGAGGGGCACTTGGCTGGGTCAGTCCATAAAGCATGTGACTCTTGATCTTGGGGTTTTAAGTTCCAGCCCCAGGTTGGCTGAAGATTACTTAAAAGCAAATGAAGTTGCTGTTAAGCAGTGGAGAGGAAATGTAGATAGAAGTATTTCAAGGATCAGTAATTTATCACTCTTTTCAGGTACATAAAACCTAGTTAACATTCACATCTTTTTAAGGTATTTATTTCCCATTTTAAAAATAGCACTGTTGGATGTAATTTAAAGGAGTGCTGGAACTTGAGTCCCCAGCAAGGACTGGAATCTTTACAGACTGAAAGCATGTTAAAATTCATGTTTGCTACACCCTGTTCTAAGCACTTTCATGACTGGGAAGTGGAAAGAGAAAAAAATGCTCAATATAGCAGTGAATGATTAAAGGAAAAATAAAAGCAAACAGCCCTGATACTAAACCATTTTTTAAATTTTCAAAGCAAACTTAGTTATGTTAAACTACATCCCCTTTCCAAAGTATATGAATGCAAAAAGGACCCTTTCCCCAAATTTTTAATTCCAAAATTTTATTGTTTATATACATGAGAGGAAAATGTAGATACACTGCATTGTTTCTTAAACATATTATCAAGCCCTATCATTAAAATGTTTAGCTGACTTGTTAACATAGAACTCACCTTCAATGGATATAATTATATATCCTAAGTATAATGTCAAGCATACCTTCCAAATCCTTTAAACTGTGTAATAGTTATACTTACCATCAACACTTAAGATTTTAAGTTTTTCTCTAAAATTTGCATTTTAAAATTAAATTTGTAAAAAATCCTGTTTTAGCAAGCTTGATTTATCAATTGGAAAAACTTTATTTTACAAGCAATAGTAATTGAATCAAATGATAATTATAATCCAGAGGAAGTATTTTATAACCATAGCAAATGCCATTATACATACTGCCAATACAGATTTAATAGACAATACTGAACTGTACAAGAGTTATTTATTTTTCCTTAATCTCAAAGCTATTGTTAGTAATACAAAAAGCCATATTAACATTTTTCCATTAGAAAACAATGTGATGTACAAAACTTTGGATGAAAAGATATATGTCAAATGTCATTTAAGCACTTGGTGGAAAATCCACCACTCCATCAATACCACCCAAAGTGTTTTAGGCAATTAAAATCAAAATAATGCATCTTAATTCCAGCTGTTAAAAAAACAAGCCTAGCAATATAGTTGGCTACACAGTATTTTTGACTACTCGCAAGTTAATTTTTAAAATCTTTTTTTTTTTTTTTTTTTTTTTGGGAGTCCTCCCACACAGAAGGCCCTATACTCAGCCAAGCAGGTATTTGAGAAAAAAGTTGGTGAGGTTGGAAAGACCCCATAAAGCAGTCCTTTGGTTACCAGATCTGACTTTTAACTTTCAAACATCCTTCAAGATCAATACTCCCTAACTAAAAGTACATTCTTTTCCAAATGCTATTTTTATTAGTGGAGAGGGTATTTGGTAAGGAGAGAACATGAACTATTATTTATGATCCATTATTCCAATTAATAGCACATGTCAAAAGCTAATTTATTTTTCTAAGGAGTTTTAAGATTTGGTGCTTGTTACAAATGTGGTTCACTGACTCACTGTGAACCCTACAAGGCATACTGCTTAAAAACAGCAAGCAGGTGTGTGTATTTACCTTTGCATTTAATGAAGTAATGGTATTTGATACACACTTTAACTTCAAATTCATTTCAGGATCCAGTGAAGAAAAAAAATAAATCCAGTTATGGGGTGGTAAGAGCAAAGGTGAAAACTAGTAAGGATTATTACTATATAAGAAAGTATTATTCTCTATCTTTTCCTTTGAGTAACAAGATACTAACACACTACTTTCATTAAAAAAAAACTGCAACTATTGAATTGAGGCAAGTACTGGAGGCCCATAAACTGACTGTGTTGCCCATCGTCACCATTACTTCTTTACATAAGCCTGTCTCCTAAGGTATAACACATAATCTAAGCAATATTTGGAAATTAGCCAAGCACTAAGCAATTACAATGGCAGGTAATACACCATCAGTTGTTGAAACACATTTGACCAGTTTTGTGGCCCATCTGCAGTTTGGATTAAATAGACTCTCACTCAAGTTTCTGGACTTGCATGACAAAAAAATGTATTTTATGAAATTTTCACATGACATTTAGAAAAGTCATCGGGTCATACCACTTTTGTATTAAATGATTCATTCTGACATGCTACATAACTATGATAAAAATAATTGTTGACTTTTTAAATGAAAACTCAAGGTCAATGCAAGTAAATGGTAACAGACATGGAATGTCTTAAGATCTTCCTGTATGTAATCTGACACTGTTGATTATGAATTTTCAGTTTGAAACTTCAGATTAAAAACCACAAGAAAATTTACTCTTGATGGCATGCAAGATGTTCCTTCAAAATTACCCTCACGACCTAGAAGTCTCAGTATTTTATCAGAACATAAATAAACACAACAGATTTGTACATTTTATTCACATTTATTTTTCGCTTTTAGTGTGCTCACAGAAAATTAGAACACCTTAAGCAGGAGTTTAATAGCAATTTTTGTAAGCAAAGTTACATTCCATCTCTAAGTCAAATTGGTCAAAGCTTCTCCAGTATTTACAAAACATGATAGACAAGATGCTACACAAAACCATTGCATCTGAAGATTTTTTCCTTTATTCTCAAAGACGACTGGAAAAGAAAGCATTGTCTGCTGTAATCAAAAACATACCACAGTATAAACAGTAACCATTCCACTTATCACAGCTTGGTTGAGTTTAAAATTTGTGTTTAAAAGGTCCAAGATGACTGCAGTTTTACAAAAATGGGCAGGGTGGAAAGTTGCAAACTTCATGTGCTTCTGGATATCAAGATTTGTTTTTATACAATAGTCACAGTTAAAAACACCCTGCTGGTAATACATAATTACACTTTATTAAGGTCATAAACCAGCAATAAACAATAAAGCCTATACAACTTGTAGTTCTACTTAATCACTGACTGGTACAGCTAACATGAGATAAGTGAAAAGTTCCTATGGTTTAAATGAACTCCTAAGACTATGATCTTTTTTAAAATCTGGGTATTGGTGTTTTTTTATTTTTTTTCCTCTCTTTCCTTCTTAATCAAGACTTGTAGTGTTGTAAACCTGCCTCACAAAATACATCGTAATAACTTTTCTTTAAAAAAAAAAAACAAAAAAACAAAAACTAAGCCTTTACACCATCATTTCTAGTGGTACATTATTCTTGGCAATGTTACGCACCACTTCGATTTCCCCATCGTGGCCCCTATCACTTCATTTGATATCCCTTTTGACCCACCCATCTCCTTCATATATGGGCATGTCCATAGATTGACAAAGAAAGTTTACATTTTCGAATAAAGATGCAAAGTATGCAAAAAACATTAATACTGATGCAAAAAATAAAAACAAGAGAGAAACAAGGCAGAGGAAGGTGTTTAAGCTCTCCTCGACCTGTTGGAATGGTGGTAACAGAATGATTTGAGATGGGATCTGTGGGGAAGGAGGGGGAACAAAATTTGCTGCTTTAAAAAAAAGTAAAATAAAAAAAGACATCTTTAAAATCAATCCCTGGTTGTAGACAAGTTCTCCAAAACCAGTACCTGGCACCACTCCAACAAACAAACGGGGGGAGAAAAGTTCTTCGATTATCTCAAAAATCGGGCCCTTTTACTCTGCCGCCTCCGCCGGGGGGGCTTCCGGACTGCACTCGGGCTGGGCCTCCTGTGAGGGGGCTGCGCAGGCTGACGAGGCTGACGCGGCCGCAGCCTCTTCCGCGGGCGCCGCCTCCTGCTCGGGGGGCGCACCGGGCCCGGCGGCTGAGGGCGCCTCGCAGGCAGCGGCGCTGGCCCCGGCCTCCTCGACCTTCTCCTCGGCCTTGCTGGGCTCCTCGGGGGCCTTGGCCTCCTCGCTGGCGGGCGGCTTCTCGGGCGCGACGGCGGCCTCCTCGGGCTTGGCCTCCTGCGGGTCGCCGCCCGCCGCCACCTCCTCACCCGCCGCGGCTTCCTCGCCCGGCGCCGCCGCTTGCTCCCCGGACGCCGCGCCCGCCTCTGCGGCGGCTGGAGCGGCGCCCCCGGCGGCCTCGTCCTTGCCGCCTTCGGCGGAGGCGCCGGCTGCGCCCTCGGCCTCCCCGCCCTCTCCCGCTTCCTTCTTGTTCTTCTTGAAGGAGAAGCCGCTCAGCTTGAAAGACTTCTTGAAGGAAAAGCGCTTCTTTTTTTTTTTCGGGGTCTCGTTGCTGGGCGAGGGCGTGGCCCCGTCCTCGGCCTTGGGCGAAGACGTGGAGGAGGCGGCCGACGCGGCCTCCCCCTCCGCGGCCGAGGGCGAGCCGGGCTCGGCGGCCTCGCCCTCCGCGGGCGCCTCTTTCTCCGCCGGGCTGGCCCCGGCCTCGGGGGCGGCGGCGGCCGGCTCCTCCTTCTCGGCCGCGGCGGGCGACGCCGCCCCGCTCCCGGCGGCCGCGGGCTCCTCCTTGTCAGCGGCCGGGGCGCTGCCGTTGGCCTGCAGCTCCTCCTTGGCGCCCGGCTCGGCGGCCGCGGGAGAGGCGTCGCCGTTTACCTTCACGTGGCCATTTTCCTGCGGGGCAGAGAAGGCGGGAGTATCACTGAAGCGGCCCGAGCGCCGCCATTGCCGCCCCCACCCCTGGGCGGGGAGGGACCAGTTACCCTCCCTGAGCCCCTCTGGCTTTGGGAGTCCCTCCATCCCCCTACGGGGGGAACCGGGGTTGCCTGCCTAGACAAGAGCTCTCCGAAGAAACGGAGCAGTGCAGTTGGGGCCGCCCCAGAGAACCAGCAATAGCCTCGATCACTCAACAAATGCCCTTCGGATTTAGAAATGCTGAGCCCCGGACTAGAAAGCAAGGGATAACCCATTCCTGCCTCCACCTCACGGGGTCTGCAAAAAGAGAACCACGTAACACACTCTACACACCAGACGCCCTTTGGGAGAAGGCACAGAGCCAGGGCCCTACACAGCCCTCTTTTCCCTAAACCGTGAGAGGCTCTGCAAAAACACCGAGAACTCCCAGGGGCATCACAGCGCTCCAGCCAGAAGCGCCACGGCTGCGCGCGCAAAGATCCTGCGCGCCGCCCCCCCCAAGGGCTTGGGGTCGCCAGGGGGCGCTGCGCCTCCACCGCACGGAGCCGGGCGCGGGCGGGTCGGCGGAGGGGCGGGGCCGCGGGGCCACCCCGCCCTGCCCTGCCCGGCCCTGCCCGCCGGCCGAGGCGCCCCCGAGCCCGGATCGCTCAGCCCAGAGTCCACAAACAAAGCTCAGGTGGCTTCCAGTCGTTCTGGTCCGAGCAAAACCAACAAGGCTGGGGGAAACCCTTTATTTCCTAGGTCTTGCCTCGGCTTCCACGCCCACCTTCGCCTGCGATTCTGTGAAGCCAGGGCGCGCCACGGCGGCTCATTTTGCATTTTTAACGGGTTCAGAGTCTCTTGGCAGAGCTCGCCTTCCCCATTAGGTTAGAGTAGGCGAAGCTACACGGCCTCTACTCTAGGAAAAGAGGCGTGGTGGGTGCCCAGTGTTTGGGAAGCAGCCACCCATGGCCGACCTCTCGCGCCCACCCAACCGTGGCCGTCTGCCTGGGTCCGGGCAGCGCTGGGGTGGCCCCCCGCAGTGGTCCAGGCGCCGCCACGCACACGAACAATCCCGACCGAAATACACGAATTGCCTCTTACTGACCATCCGGACAGGTTCTCTTCAAGGACCCACCGAGTCTTCCCACCCCTACCATGTAAAAGTCGGATGGGTGTGTAATTCCACAGACAGCGGACGAATAAAGATTTAGAACGGTGGGAAAGCCCCACGGAAAGATATTGAAACCTTTCAGCCCAGCTCCAGCCAGCCAGCTACCTTTCCAAGAAACCGGGGCACGCCGCCTCAGCATACAATAAGACAGCCTTTCTTTCCCTCCTTGCCTTTCTCCACCACCATTCCCATTCTCCCCCATCCTGCCCCCCCATCACACCGGCTCAGAAATGTTGAAAGCGACCCAGTCTCGACAACAAACACGAGAGCCACCCCAACACCTTTGTGCTCACCAAACACAAATGCAACCTGACTGGGGGGGGGGAGGGGGGTTAGCACCTAGCTAGTCACGTTCTGCCAAGCTCCAAACACGCCATTTTAGACAATTTATCACTTCTTTCCTCTTGTCTACACAAGAATTTGCCAGGATTCTCCGAGAACCACTCCTCTGGGGTGGAGGAGAAGACCCCCCCCCCCACCTCCTATGAGAAATTGACAATTTAGGCTATCGCTTTCCATTCAACTTTCAGACTGGAATCTGGCCACGCTCCTCTCTACGCCGAATGCGCCTAGGGCGCGACCGGGAGGGGAGAAGCGTCGGGACTGGAGAAAGACACCAACGAAATGACCACAAACACAGGTAGAATTTACCTGCCCATTCGCTTTGGAAGGCGACGAGGCCACAGCCGCCTCCCCGGGCCTCTCCGCGGTGGCTTCTCCCTTCGCAGCGGTCTTGGAGAACTGGGCACCCATGCTGGCTTCTTCAACAAAGAAACTCAACAGATCCAAGGGGGGAACAAAGAGCCTCCGGTTGGTGTAACGACGGGGCGAGCGGCAGCAGCAGCGGCGGCGGCAGCGGCGGCGGCGGCGGCAGCAGCACACACACCGGAGGGAGGGGGGAGTGGGGGGGGTGAAGAGGACAGAACAGAACCGATTAAATACACTCCGGATAAAAAAATTTAAGTCGAAGAGATAAAAAAGCAGCAGCGCAGGAGGGAGGGAAAAAGGGAGGAAAAGTCGAGCACAAAAAAAGGAGCCCAAGTGTAGTTAAAAAAAAAAAAGAAGTAATAAAAAAATCCCAGATTTGTAGCCGCACTGTAGACAAGAGGAAAATGGAGAAATCTCCCTGGTTGCTAATAAGATGCGGGGTCCAACGCCCAAGTGCACAGATGAATGGGCTCGCGGGCGCTGACGCGGCCCCCGCGCGCGCCGGCCAATCCGCGCACCGCACACAAAGCAGGGGGCGGAGCCTGCGCGCCCGGCGAACAATGGAGCCGCGCTTTGCAAATGGTTTGAAAATCAGCCTCAGACCGAGAATTAATGTCCTCCAAATAAATAAATCAATTAAAAAATACATGCCTCTCGCCTCCCTCTGCTTGAAAATAATAATGCATCACTTGATTGGCTTGCTTTGTTTGGAATTAATTAACGCGGGAGGGGGGTACTTGTGGATGGGGGCGGAGAAAGCGTTAACTTGACTCGCTTTGACTCTTGTCGGTCTATATCCGTGTCTGTCTCTCTCCACTCGCTCCCCTCCCCCATCTTCCCTGTGTGTTTATGTGTCTGTGTGTGTATGCGAGTGTTAAAGACAATGGTTGGGATTTGTATGCAGCATGTTTTCTTTCTCCGTGTTCCATACTGGTTTCACAGATACTCCACAGGGTTTGTTTTCTTAACGGTTGCAAATGTTAAATCGCTCCAAATTGAAAGGTATTTAAACCACGAAGATCGAATTTCATCAAACCACATCTCGAGTTAGAATTAGGTCTGTAGGCCAGATGTGGAAAATGCAAAAGCGGCAAGGAGCCTAAGCCACAGTCCCTACCCTATCCCACACTGGCATGAAATAAAATATTGGCCTGCGACGTTCATCGAATTCCTCCCACCCCCGACTATTCCCAATGAGTGATTCCCCCCACCCCACAATATAAAGTGAGGGCCATGTACAAAAAATCATAACAGTTTGCATTTTATCACTATAAGAAATGACAATTTTCCTCTATGGTGAAACGAGACACAATACGAATCCATATATATGGTTAGGATGCAATTCGCGTAGATATGAATCGTTTTTCAGCCTATTGCCAGGATCGGATGGACTCTTTCCGAACATGTGTAAGTATGCATGCAAGCGAGTGTGCTCCTGGAAGGGAGGGAGGCAGCGGCGATGAAATTTTAAACAACCGGATTGACGACCACAGTTCTAAGGAGAAACTGCATGTTGAGAAATAGCAAGAAGATCCTCTGAATGCTCCAAGTCTAGCTGGGGTTGGAGAAAAAGCTTCCATAGGGGGACACAGAGTACCTCCATCGCACCCCTTGCCACGGAAGTACGAGACGTTATTTGTGTGTGAAAGGCAAGGCACTGATTTAAAGAAGGGGAGGAGGCGGTAAAAAAAAATCAAGGATACAGCCTAATAAACATTCTCCTACCGCCTACATTTTTACTCCCAAAGTTTTCTCTCGTTCCACATTAGACCCTTTTCTCGTTTACATTTAGTAATCCTGAAATGAATAATCTTTCGCTTATGGACGTGAGAAGCAGTCGAGAGAATGGTTCATTTCTCCTGGTGTTGGCTCTGAATTCTCAAGCAGTTTTATTTTCTGCTTATTGCAGGGAAATGGGTCACACTTTGAGTGAAAAAGATGGTTCAAGCCAGTAACTCTTTGTTCAAGTATTGCTTTGCAAATCACCAAGCCGTACATCGTTACACGAAGCTTCGTCTCCTCACTGTCCACTGCCTTCAGATGCATCATTCGATCTCGAAGTCATATTCCCCAGAGCTGATGGAGAGACGTTTCCGTAGAAGTGTATCCTGCCAAACATATTATCACCCTTAAGGGAGCCCGTGGGCCTGGCCCAAGACCCCAGCCGCGGAGGTGGACGCGAATCCCTCGTATGAGCGGAGTTCCAACTTGAAAAGCCAGCTGGGCTGATCCAAAACCACCATCCCGGCGATTCTCAAAAGCTCATTTAAGGCTGTTGATTTCCCCCACCCCCAACGTGAATCCTGCCCCTTCCTCTGCATCCCCCTCCTGGTTTTAACTTGGGGTGATTGCTAGCTCGCTTTCGGATTTTCTCGCAGACGCGTCCCCAGCCCTCCATTTGGGGGCTGCTTTTATTGCTCCTTTGTTACCAGACTGCCGTGTAGCTACCCCCCCCCCCCCCCCCCCCCCTGCTTTTCCGAATGCCCATTTGCCTAGTATCAGCCGGTCTCCCTAGCAACCGCGACGGAAGATTCGGAGCCCTGGACTGGGGGGAGGGGGGTCGGGGGGAGGAGAAAGGGGCGGAGCCTGCGGGGGGGCAGGGAGAGGTGGAGGGGAAAGAGATGCTGCTGAGCGAGAGACTGCGAGACCCCGAAGCAGAAGGCTGCGCGAGGGGGCGGGGTCCAGGAGGAGCGCGGGGGGACCCCAAGCGTCGGGGGCACGAGGGAACCAATCAATTCCCGCAGCAGCTGCGGGGCTAGAAAACAAGTGTAGACGCAAAGATTCGCTCCCCGCGAGCTGTCCCTAGTTGGCCGCAGAAAACGTGATTTCCTTTCGATAACGAAAGCTCATTTGTAGAGTAGGTTGGAAAGCCCGCGGTCCCCAGTAACTGATGGGGGAAAAGGTTTGCGGCTGCCGGGGGCGCTGAGCGCTGGGGCAGTTTCTCCCAATCTCTCCCAGCGTGGGACCAACTCGGGGAAAGCCGCGAGTTGGGGAGATGGGTGAAGGCCGAGAATGGGGTGAGGAAGGAAGGGGCTGAGATATGGGAAGAGGCCGTTCTGCCCTGGCAACTACTTAATGGAAGGGAAGGACCGCCAAGACTGGAAGTTGTACAGCGTGAGTATAGTGCTCTCGCACCCAGAGCTAAAGGTTTTGAATAAAAGGCTAAACATATAAATATGATTATTTATGCAAATGTTGTTTAAGCACTCATGAATTCACAGCGAACAAGTAAAACAGGCAATGTCTGTGCCCAACTCACCAAGAGGAAACGCATTTATTTTTTATTTGTATTCTTTTCACCATGCACTGAGGTTTCTAAGATGATGGTAATCTGTATATGATTCTCTCTAGTGAAAGAACTATTTATGTAGAATACCTCAAAGTCTTTTTTTCCTTAAAATCTTAGCCCCGGAAGGAATTTTTAGAGAGATTTACACAAATTCCTGAAGGCCTACTGTGCCACACAAGCTGATCTAAGTAAGCCTTGTTTTCACACCAGTGAACAAGACAGATGCAGTTTCTAGCCTCAGGGAACTTACATTTTAGGAGTCATCTGATTTCATCCTCTCTCCAGATGAAAAACCAGGCCCAGGAAAGTCGCCAGACTTTGTCAGATGGTAGAGGTTTGAAGGGAGCTCACCCCCTTGATGATTCCAAGGTCCCAGCTTCTTCCACTACTGCCCGGTGCTATCTAACCCTCACCTGATGGCACATACCACCGGGTAGGTCCCCCTTCATCCGTTCCTGATTTTATTTATGTATTTCTCGTGTTAAGTACCAGAAGAGGGCTAGACATCAGCTGATACCAAAAGTACATGGGCACAGTCTTTCCTCTCCTGTAGCTTCCACTTCATATTCTCTCTTAAAACTTTTTAGAATGTGGAAAAAAATGAACAAAAGACAAGATGGACTGTGCTAAGACAAACAAAGATCCAGAAAAAAAGATGAGGGCCACTGTTCTAGACTCCTAAATAAATATTCCTTCATCATCTGAAAGCATTCAATTTAGCATTCATTCATCATTCACAGAATATGAGATCCTACCATGTTTACGGTGTTGTGTTCCATTTTTCATCCTAGATTTTATATTACCGGAACTTCAATTCCACAGAAATTGATTAGTTTGGGATATAGGGTATAATAAAACAGACATAGGTCCTCATACATTTGACAGATACTTACTGAGTTCCTCTCATGTGCTAGGCATTCGGAACATATCAGCGAACAAAAGAGACGAGAAATCTTTATGGAATTTACATTCTAGAGTGGAGAGAAAAACAAAAATTAGTAAGTATAAATAAGCAAATTACATGGAATGTTAGAATCGTGTAAGTGTGAGGAGGGGGGAACTGGAGCAAAGTAAGGGAGATGGCAGAATTGAACACAAAGCACAAATGGATCCGTAATTGTAAGTGGTCACGTGTGCTTTGAAGGAAAATGCCGGGTGCTAGAAGATAGTCTAATTGAGTTAGGAGGGTTAAAGAAGCCCCCCCCTTTTTAAAAATTTTATTTATTTATTTGAGAGAGAGAGAGTGTGAGAGTGGGGAGGTCAGAGGACGAGCAGACTCCCCGCCGAGGGACTCGATCCCAGGACTCCAGGATCATGACCTGAGCCGAAAGGCAGTTGCTCAACCAACTGAGCCACCCAGGTGCCCCGAAGAAGACCATTTTAAGCAGTGACACTTAAGTAGAAACCTAAGGGAAAATAGGCATTAGTCAAGTACAGAGGTTGAGGGTTATGTTCAGGTGGAGGAAATAGCAATGTGCCTGAGGAGGGAAGGGTTCAAATGGGCTTGGGAGGAAGCTGGAGAGATTAGTTGGGACGCATTTTGACATGCCTGTAAAACATCCTAGGGGAAAAGTTAAATGTGCAGTTAGAAGAGTCTGGAGCTCAAAGACTGGTTTGAAAAATAAATATATATAGATTTGTGACCATTCCATATATCCATATTTTCTGAAGCCAAGAACAGGCAAAAGACAAAAGAATGCAGAGTCATACCCTGCGTGTCTTCTGCTTTGCAAGGCTAGGTAGAGATTTGTCGATTCTACCTCAAAAGAGCTGAAGAAATAGAATAAAATAATATAACATAAAATAATACAAATGTTAAAATGAATAAAAAAAGGAGATTGGGTAGAAAAGCAGTCTGGGTGGCAACGAAGACTGAGAAGGAACCCCCAAGGAGTAGATGGAAAACTAGGAAAATGTGGTATCAAGAAAATCAGTGGAGATCTGTTTCAAAGAGAAGTGGTTAGTTTTGTAAAATGCTGTTGAGAGGTCAAATAAAAGGAAGACTGAAAAGTTGCCATTGTATTTTGCTGGTTTTAGAACAGCATTCTGTATACAGAATATAAAAGTTACTAGTTATAGACTCGAGAGCCGTTTTTACAGTATGTTGACAGTAGAATCCAGAGTTAGTATTGAGGAGTAAAGGAGAAGATGACAGCATAAATGGCCCTTTCTCTATGAAGCTTGACTGGGAAAGCTTTTCACATGACTGTGAAAACATAGGTTGTAACTAGAAAAGGATGGAATAATACTTTTTTGTTTTGGGTGGTGTTGCCTTGAATGGAAGATATTAGAGCAAAGTTGCT